CTCATCAAATTCTACAAAGAGTCAAATCCATTTAAACTATGTTTGGCAGAAATCTAAAAAATTATCTTCATTTCTTTGGAAATTTACACTAAGTTACGTATGGAAGGTTAAAAATTGTTATAAAAAAATTAACCAAGTGTAGAGTTCTACGTGAAACTAAAATATTACATTTCAAATTGGATCAAGTTTGATGGAATCTAGAATATGAATTCCAATTTCATGTAGATTTCTATATGATGACTATTTTTATTATTTCCTATTAGAACTTCCATCAAATTTCTAAATTTGTTCTAAACATTACCTTAATTTACACTTGAAATGAATTTAATTTTTTTTATTCATTTATAAATTCACACAAAATTTGACTAGAGTTCAGAAGCACTGTTTCAATTTCACGTACAATTCAATACGTATATGTGCTTACAGCCTTGAATTTATCTCCTAATTGAATTAAGTTTAGATTTATAAATTGATTCTATAACTTTCTGAATTTATTTCAGATATAGCCATAGTCATTGTTTAGTCAAACATCAAACATTGTTTCCTATCAACTAGAAATTTGAGGATAGACAGCAATGCTGGAGACTCATCATGGAAATGAGACAGATATTTGATTTGCGAAGGCCAGGGAAAAGGTGTTTTGCTCCCATGATTTGTTTACATTCTCGCATAATTGAAAATGGATGTTCTCGCATATTTAGAGACTAGTGAAACAAGATAACCAGAAAACAGAAATGTACCTCTTCAAATGGAACGAAGACAAATGGGGTTAAACCCCTCTTATGCGAGACTGCAGGCACATCTGGGTTGTGAGTTTCATCATCTTGCCATCCTTCTACCAATTCAAGAATGTCCTCATCAGAGCTGTTTCTGACCTCACTATCATTCACACCACTTGTAACAAGTGAGAGTAAATCCATTCGGTTGTTAGCCCCTGCAGTTGTTCCTCGTACCCTATATGACAGTGTAAATCACCAACAATGGATAAAAAATTTTCACATATGTTCCCCTACTATAATTACTAAAAAAATCCTATCCTATACGACAGTGTAAATCACCAACAAAGGAGAAAAATTTTCAGATATGTTCCCCTAATATAATTATTAAAAGAATCCTAAAAAGTCTATCAGCCCCAAGATTTATTGGCATCTGCAATCAGCAGTAAGTTTAGAGAAAGAGGAACAAAAGAACAGTTCCTCGAAAAAGCACCATTCTTCACTTCCATATATTATGCAAGACACTATTAGGTGTCTTCTGGACTGTTTATGCTGGTTGCATTCTTTCCGCAGTTTACTTTTTAAGTCTTTGATAGCATGATTCAGGTTCCATGGGTTATTCCAGTTAGTACTTATAACCCCTCCCTTAACAAGTACTGCTTTTAGATACAAAGTTCATAAGGTAATATTTATTAACCAGATGCATAATTAATTGTACGGGAAAACTGAGGATTCAAAAGAAGCCAATGTTGGAAAAGGCCAATATTGGAAAGGTCCATCTTTTCAAAAGGAAAAGGAAAAGGAAAAACAGAGAGAAATACCCGGAATAAGATTACTAATGGTCACAAAAACTTAAAGAGACAGCTGTATTATACTTTCTTCTATGATGGTTTCCCCAAGGATCATTTCTTATATCAAGTTTTAATATTAGAAAAGGCCAAACATTTCGGAACTAAAAGGAATATTATTTTCCAGCTTCCATACGACATAAAACTTATTCCAAAGTTTCTGAGGCCACAAGATAGAGTACCTTAAGCGAATTCTCAACACTGTAGGACGCATGCCCGGGTACAGAATGGCAGCTTCAACCTGCAACTTAGGAGAAATCATAACTACCTTAATTTGGCCATGGAGAATATAATGGGCTTAAGAAATTTGTGACGTAGGCATCTACAATCTGACCATCCTTCACAGTTAAAGAAAAGAACTAAATACAAGTATTATTTGCAGTTCACAGAAAAATAAGTTTTTGAAGTTTCCAAAAAGAGAAACATACCTTGTCATCTAACAAAGTGTAATGGCCACTAAAAACACAGTCTGTTTTAGATGCTCGAAAGTTCATATATTTTACAACCTCCTTGACCTTTTGAGATGAGTTCTAATGAATGCATTGACAACAGAATCAAACAGAAGTCAGACTTGGAAACACAATATTGCTTAGCTAAGTATATACATCAAATTATTTGAAGATTACAACCTTGTAAAGAAATCTCCCAGATGGATAAAATCTAATGTAGCGGAAGTAGCAAACCTGCAGAAAATTTGAAGAGAAAGAAGATGTAAGAACAATTGGACAATGGCAAAAAAAGAAAAGAAAAGAAAAGAAAAGATAAGGAAAGGAAAGGAAAAAAATTCAAATAAGCTTAAGTTAGGAATTATCTGCATACAATGTGAACTGGATTGGTAATCTTCCACTCTGCAACTCCAGCTCGAATGTATGTATTTCTACTCACATATAGACCTAAGATGTGAAAGGTGAAAAGGTAAAAAAAGGGAGCATTCTATAAAAATCTCAAAGTTCAGATAAATCAAAGAAAACTCCATGATAAAGCACACTGAGCATTATCATGCCAATATAGATGTGCATTGGAAACAAAGCACAAAGCTATACTTTGAAATCAGCCTTAATGATTTGAACGCAGACTGGAATAGACAAAAAACAGAATAAAGTTCTGAATGAACATCAATTCAGACAAATCCAGGAATTAATATATGTTAAAGAACGAATTGGTTTCTGTTAGCATTCCAATCAGAATGACAGAGATTTGCTTGTAGCTTTCCAGCAAAAATAAAAGAAAAGAATAAATTTTGTTTAACCAGAAGATCATTAGAATTATATATTCTGCATAAACATGTCATTAACTATCTCAGAATTTCAGCCTCCTGATTAATCAGGAGATTGACAATAACAAGCACCTACAAAAACAAGAATGACAAACAAGTCCGAAAAATCCATGATGACCAAGAGGCAGCAATTTTTAAACTTAAAACACTGCCCTAGCAAAGTAGAGAAAATATGAAGGATTAATCTCATTTGGAGGAGGTAGATGTTATCAACACAAAGGATTCTTTTCAGACCATGTACACCCGAAAACTCTTTCTAGAGGGATTAAATGAAGATACAGGAAATAGATCATCCTCCAAAGTAGTACAATGTTT